ATGGGGACAGGGATGGTGGGCACGGGGATGATGAACACTCACCCGTCCGCTGCCATCGCCACCGGTGCTGTCAAGAGCGGAGCCGGGATGGGGCCGAGACCGCGCTACCCTGAGCCGAGATGGCCTCACGGGAGGCCGCCAATGGGCCCGTGGCACCGCCGCGAGCCCGCCCCTAACCCGCCCCGAGCCCGCCCCTATCCCCGCCCCGAACCGCACCGCGGGTGGAGCGGAGCGCTGTATGCAACGCGCAGGGCGGGGCGCAGCCAGTCCAGGGCGAAGGTGGTGCAGGCGCGCGGTTTGGTGCGGCTGCGGAGGGGGATCCGAACGGTGTCCATCCACGGACCCGCCCTACTGCAGCTCCGCGGAGCCCCGCATGGGGGCGGTGACCGCAGAGTCGCGTCCTCGAGTCTGTCCCTGCCCCCGGCGCCGCAACCCGGACTTAACAGCCGCTGCAGAGAAAGCCGCCGTTGGGGGGAACCAAACCCCGGGCGTTCAGCAGCGCGGTGCCGGTGCGTGGCCGTGCCGCAGTTCCGCCCGCACGGAGGCATTGAGCAGCAAGCAGCGGCGCTGCACGGCGATCCCACCCGTGGGCCGGGGGCTCCGCAGAGCCCGGGGGCAGCGCGGCCGCTCCGTTCCGTGCGCGTAACCGAGGGGACGGCGCCCGTCGCGGGCCGTGCCCTCGCGGAGCCTCGCGGAGGGGCTGCCCGTGTGCCGGGGCAGCCCCCGAAACGCCGACGCTCCGTCCGTCTCCTCGCGCCCGAACGAGCAGCGGCAGTGCCCTGCGGTGCGCACGGCCGGCACGACGCGGAGACCCTCCGCCACACACAAAGACCACAGAGCCACCGAGAGGACTTCTTTATTGCCGACCTCAACCCGAGCCCGAGCTGCTGTTTCCGGCAGAGGTGCTGCCACACGGGGCGGGTGGGAGACCCCGGCGGCAGCGCGGCTACCGGGCAGCCGAGGGACGAAGACAGAATCGTGCAATGGACGGCTGCCGACGGGGCTCAGCGCCTAGTGGGGGGGGCCGTGCGGGCCCGGCGGAGACGGATGGGGGCCCTTCGGAGACGGATGGGAGCCCTTCGGGTGGGGGCCGCCTCGGTCATGGCCGGGTGGGTGATTATGCCCTGGCGACTTTCCGGGCCCTCCGTGCGGCGGCGGCCCTCCGTGCGGCCCTGCAGGAAGAGGTGCGCGTCAGGGCTGCGGAACGGCCACGCGGCTCTGCTGGAGCTGTAGTGCCCCGGCTGCCGGGGGAGGCTCCTGGCCCCCGGCACGACCGGGCTTGCGGCTTGCGAGCGGCGGCAGGGGACGTGGGCAGGGAGCGGCCTGGCAGCGCAGGCACCCCCAGGGCTGCCCAAGCCCTACCCACGGGCACTTACCTGGGTGTGGGGATGACATCGCACGGCCCCGAGCTGCAAGAGAAGCAGGAACCGCGCTGTCAGTGCTGCCTGCCGTGCACGGCCCTCGTGCCTGGCATCCCCGTGGCCCCAGGCCTCCAGCCCAGCCGTGGCCCCGTGTGTCAGGGTACGAAGAGTGCCACCCACACGTGTCCCACACGCGCCCCCACGGACATCCCGACCCATCTGGGCACCTCGGGAGCAGCCGCCCTCACCTCTGCGCTCCCGGCACAGCTCAGGCTCGTGCTTTCCCTCGCTGATGCCGAGAACCCAACCCTGCTAACGCACCCCCTCCGCGCGGCGAGGAACAGCCGAGCCCCGCGCCCAGCCCGCGTCCTCGGGGCCGCGCGGCTCCAGGACTCCGTGCCCCGCCACAGCCCGCCCTGCTGCCCCGCTGGGCTCTGCCGCTCAACACCTACAGAACCGACAGCACCGCGACCCCAGCGTCGTCCTCACGCAGCACACAGGCTGTCGGGGCCGACCTCGGGGCACCGCTTAAAACCACCACCACGGGCGGCGCCGGCCCATAAACACGGCGATGGTTTTATGGGTGCCGTCACCATGGGGACGCCCAACAGACAGCCGGCGCACCCAGCGCAGCGCACAAAGGTCTGCAGCCCTCACCGGGCGCGGTGGGGATGGATGGTTTTCGTCATCTGATGCATGGGGTGCATGGCTGCTTGGTGCCTTCTACTTTGGATTTGGCAATAAAGTTTCCTCCTGTTGACTTTCAGGGTGATCCAGGTTCCTTTGTGCTTCGTGGTGACACTTGAACAAATCAGATGGGGCAAAGTTCAGGCCAAAAAGCCCACACTCCTGGCCGTAAATTCTCATGGTTGACATCCAGCACTGATATTAACAATTGGATGCAGGGACACAGGCTGTGCAGTGTGTGGCAAAGCAGTGCCTATCGCCATGGGAGTGAAGGAGTTGTCTGGGCCATGGCATTGCAAAATATGCTCCTAGCATTGATATGTATGTCAAAATCTCCCAAAACATTGAAAAGAGAAATGCATATATGGGAGACATTGCTTTCTTTTTGTGCAGGGCTCAAGGTGGGTGAGATCGAGTTCACCCAAGTCTTTAATTTGTACTTGCAATCTGAATGTTTTCGCTGCATGTTTACCCAGTACGTAAGTCCCACCTCCCTGCTATGTATTCCTATCATTTATGTAGGTAGAAGCTAATATGGTTACACATACATACATGGATCTCCTATGCTTGCACAGGGCAGTATTCAGTGGGCATGTGGGCAATCTGTGCCTGGAGCAGCGCCAGTTCCGTACCACCCGTTCTCACTAGGGAGAGCTGTGATGCTGCTTCTGTGCAGCTTAAGTGGATGGTGTTGGCTGACACACACATAGGAGTGCTGCATTTGGGGTGCTATAGCCTTGATTTATTTTGGTTTGGGGAAACAAACGAGGAAACCATTATGATCTGCCTGAAAGGAGCTTTTCACAGGGATCTCTGCTACCACATGGCTGTCAAAGTCTTCACAGCACTCTTTGCCAGAAGACAGTGATGAAGGGTGATCCGTTTGAGTTTATTGTCTTTATATTATATATGTCTATATAATCGTGTATCTATATATATTATATTACATATGTCTATATAATCAATCTGCTTGCACACTGTCTTCATTATGCAGCTTGGGCATTGCTTTATACAAGTTTTCTGAGGATTAGCCCAAAATTAATGGAGCAATGCTCTGCTCCCTAATGGAGTAATGCTCACTCCCTGTTTGTGAGTGCTCTGCCTGCCAGAGACATCACAAGCTGCAGCTATTCCTTCCCTTTGGGCATCCTGCAACCCTACAGGGCAATCTGTGCCAGGGCAGGAGGGACACTGCCCATTGCTGATGTAGATTGCTCCACATTTCTGGATGTGGAGAACAAATGCATATATTTTTGAATTAATTTAGGATAGTGCTTAGTGGTTTAGCTGAGTTCAGCCAGGAGATGACCTAATCCAAGGCTGTGTTTCAGGTGAGATAACAGCATCACAGAGTTTTCAGCTCCAGAGGAATGGCTCAGTGTTTTCTGAGAAGGTCGTGTAAATTGCAATGGAGTGATACTTGGTGGACAAGGAGTGGATCCAGAGTGTTTCCTCTGCCACGGGGTGCACAGTTGTGCTGGGAGAACATACAGCATAAGCAGGGGCTGGGGGACCCCCTGGCCCCACCAACCTATGTGCAGGGTGCTGAATTGAGCCCACTCCATCTTCTTCCTGCACTGACTTCTATGGGCACCAGCCTCACTCCCAGTGTTTGCTGGTGCTTCCTGATTCTGGAGGTGGTTTCAGGCTGCCTGCCACGATCCCATCTCATCTCTCCTGGGCTCAAAGACACACAGTGGCACACAGAGGTATGGAGCCTGCAGAACCGTGTTCTCAGTGAGCAGCCCTGCAGAGGCAGAAGCATTTTCTTCCCCCTCCTACACACATTCCTCTGCCCTCATGAGTTTTTTTCTCCCAGTTCAATGACCACCAGCCTTTGTCTCGTGGTCTGGCAGAGCCTGGTGCCAAGCACACCAGAGACACACACTGCCTTTTCTCCCTGGGCCTGCTATGAAGACCTCACATTGTGTTTAACTAGGGAGAGAGAAAAGCAGAGGCTTGGAGCATTGTGCTCAGCTTTGGGCTATGTAAAACCCTCTGTTTCTCCAAAAATACCAGTCCAAAGCTCTGGTGAGAAATCAGTGACCCGAGGACAAGTGCCCTGAGGTCACAGTCTCCCTTAAAAGATCAGGGCCATGAATTTCAAAATGAAAGAATTGGCAGCACTTTGCACGTCACTGACACGGGTGAGCACCAGCTCCCAGCCTGGCACAGCCTGACACCTCTGCACAGGCCTCAAGGACTATTCAAGGATTATTCAAAGGTGGGGCTGGAGAGGACTCCTGTGGGGGGAGTGAGGGGCGGAGGCTGTTGCATGCTGGCCAAGAACTATGTACAAGGACGTGCACAAGGAGCAAGGCAGTCACCGGAAGCTGCCTGCCGAGGTGGGACAGGGCCAAGGATGAAGGTGTCCATGACTAACCCTGCTAACTAACAGGCATGTTTCCAGCTTGTGATGCAAGGCAGTGTCACGCTGGGACCATCTTTTACAACCCAATGGCCCTGGCCCTTCTCACTACCCATGCCTCCATCCAACACATAAGTGCTGGATGTCAACCACGAGAATTTACGGCCAGGAGTGTGGGCTTTTTGGCCTGAACTTTGCCCCATCTGATTTGTTCAAGTGTCACCACGAAGCACAAAGGAACTCGGATCACCCTGAAAGTCAACAGGAGGAAACTTTGTTGCCAGATCCAAAGCAGAAGGCACAAAGCAGCCATGCACCCCATGAATCAGATGACAAAAGCCAGTAGAGCATCCCCGGCCCACACAGCTGCATCCACCAAAGCTTTGCACAGTGGGTGTGAAGGAACCTGTCCGTGCCCCCTTTTCCTGCCGGATGTGCTGCGTCTGACCCACCCTCACCCTGACCCCAGGGATCAGGTGGTGCCGGCGGAGGAGCCACCACCCATCCCCACCGCGCCAGGGCTGCAGACCTTTGTGCGCGGCGCTGGGTGCGCCGGCTGTCTGTTGGGCATCCCCATGGTGATGGCACCCATAAAACCATCGCCGTGTTTATGGGCCGGCGCCGCCCGCGGCACGGCAGGGCCCTATATATAAGCGGTGCCCGAGGTCGGCCCCGACAGCCTGTGTGCTGCGTGAGGACGACGCTGGGTTTGCTGTGCTGTCGGTTCTGTAGGTGTTGAGCGGCAGAGCCCAGCGGGGCAGCAGGGCGGGCTGTGGCGGGGCACGGAGTCCTGGAGCCGCGCGGCCCCGAGGACGCGGGCTGGGCGCGGGGCTCGGCTGTTCCTCGCCGCGCGGAGGGGGTGCGTTAGCAGGGTTGGGTTCTCGGCATCAGCGAGGGAAAGCACGAGCCTGAGCTGTGCCGGGAGCGCAGAGGTGAGGGTGGCTGCTCCCGAGGTGCCCAGATGGGTCGGGATGTCCGTGGGGACGCGTGCGGGACGCGTGTGGGTGGCACTCTTTGTACCCGGGCACACGGGGCCACGGCTGGGCTGGAGGCCTGGGGCCACGGGGATGCCAGGCACGAGGGCCGTGCACGGCGGGCAGCACTGACAGCGCGGTCCCTGCTTCTCTTGCAGGTCTGTGCTGTGAGATGTCATCCCCACACCCAGGTAAGTGCCCGTGGGTAGGGCTTGGGCAGCCCTGGGGGTGCCTGCGCTGCCAGGCCGCTCCCTGCCCACGTCCCCTGCCGCCGCTCGCAAGCCGCAAGCCCGGTCGTGCCGGGGGCCAGGAGCCTCCCCCGGCAGCCGGGGCACTACAGCTCCAGCAGAGCCGCGTGGCCGTTCCGCAGCCCTGACGCGCACCTCTTCCTGCAGGGCCGCACGGAGGGCCGCCGCCGCCGCACGGAGGGCCCGGGCACGGAGGTCCACCGCACGGTCCTCCAGGACATCATCACCCACCCGGCCCCCACCTGCCGCGCCCCCATCTGCACCTGCCGCGCCCCCATCCGCCTCCGCCGGGCCCGCACCCGCACGGCCCCCCCCACTAGGCGCTGAGCCCCGTCGGCAGCCGTCCATGGCACGATTCTGTCTTCGTCCCTCGGCTGCCCGGTAGCCGCGCTGCCGCCGGGGTCTCCCACCCGCCCCGTGTGGCAGCACCTCTGCCGGAAACAGCAGCTCGGGCTCGGGTTGAGGTCGGCAATAAAGAAGTCCTCTCGGTGGCTCTGTGGTCTTTGTGTGTGGCGAAGGGTCTCCGCGCCGTGCCGGCCGTGCGCACCGCAGGGCACTGCCGCTGCTCGTTCGGGCGCGAGGAGACGGACGGAGCGTCGGCGTTTCGGGGGCTGCCCCGGCACACGGGCAGCCCCTCCGCGAGGCTCCGCGAGGGCACGGCCCGCGACGGGCGCCGTCCCCTCGGTTACGCGCACGGAACGGAGCGGCCGCGCTGCCCCCGGGCTCTGCGGAGCCCCCGGCCCACGGGTGGGATCGCCGTGCAGCGCCGCTGCTTGCTGCTCAATGCCTCCGTGCGGGCGGAACTGCGGCACGGCCACGCACTGGCACCGCGCTGCTGAACGCCCGGGGTTTGGTTCCCCCCAACGGCGGCTTTCTCTGCAGCGGCTCCCATGGCCGCCGTGGGTCGGCAGCGGGTCAGTGCAGGTCTGTGTGCCGCTGCGCACCGCTCAGCCCGTTGCCGGACGCCCCGGCCTCCCTTTGCCATTGGCGCCGGGCGCTGCGGCACGGGTGAGGCTCCACGCCCACAGGCATAAGAAGGCCGTCTGCCGCCGGGCTGCAGCCGCAGCGCTGGGCATCGCCAAGGGAGGTGAGAGGGGAGAGAGGAGAGGGGAGAGGGCTCGGGGATGCGGGACGGGGAACCGGCGACGGGCAGGCGGGCGGGGCTGCTCCGGAGCTGAGCTCTTTACTCACCGCAGAGGCCGGTGGAGAGCTGAGATGATGTGGCAGATATTTACCCGTGCGGAATGAATTAAACGAGGACCGGCCACCAAACTGTTGGGTTTTTTTAACCCCAGCGTCAGTGCATTCAGCAGCTTCTGGGGAGATGCACTTGTATCCCTCCCTGTCAGGTTATATTTGGTCTGGCTTTTTGTGAGATCTGCAGGAAAAGCAGCGGTTACTGGTAGTCCTGAACTGGTCTCCGGGTCGTATGTGTGAGGAAGAAAGGCAGAGGAGTTGCCCTTGTTTTCTCCTATTGGCACCTATCAAAATCGAATCCTGCTCACTTCCCCCTGACTATTCATTTGGAAATGGGCCTGCAGGCAAGAAAGATAGAGGCAAGGGCACCTGAAATGGAAGGGAAAGCAAAGCCTTTCTGAAGTGCCTCCCTCCACCCCCACCCTCACTTGTTCCTATCCCAATAGGTAGAGCAGTGGATTGAGCAGTAGGAAAAAAAAAGAATAGGTGAGGTGACAACATTCATGATTAAGTGCCTGTTTCATCAGCTGAGAACGTAGCACAAGGATACTGTCCAGTTCCTGCTGCGTTTTGATTAGTGGGGCTTGAGGATTTGGGTCATCCAAAGGTGGATTTCTTTCCCATAGGGAGTGCCAGGCAGCAGGGCTGAGATGCAGCCCAAATACAGTGAGACCTGGGGGAGGTGTAGCAGTTCCATGGCCTGGAGCTGCATGGCAGCTCTGAGCCAGAGCTCAAGCCCCATCCCAGGCACAGACTGGTGCTCTGTGCTTCCCACAGCCCATTTCTGCTATGCAGGTTTCCCAAAAGCACTGGCAACACAAGCTTAGCAGATGACCCTGTCCCACTTGTCAGCTAGCTCAGCACTTATAGGAGATGCAGGAAGCCTCCAGGGTTTTGCCACCTGTCTCCTTCCAGTTTTCTCTCCTACGCTCTGCACACAACACCTGTCTGTTCCAGGGAATGCACCTGTCCCACTGCCACCACTCCTTGTGCTGCAGCTCATCTGGAGCTTCTTAGAACCACAGATCCTGGGATCTTCCCCAAAGTGAGAGCTGCTAGCAGAGCTTGTCTGCACCGCTGTTGGGTGGGAGGGTGCCTCAGGGTACTGGTGCTCACCAAGCAAAAGGCATCACTGCAGCCTAACCCTGTTGATGTGCCCATTGCCTCCCTGTGACCTCAGGACTGTGCTGTGACCATGTCTGAGCTGGAGAAGGCCATGATCGCCATCATTGATGCTTTCCACCAGTACTCTGGGAAGGAAGGAGACAAGCATAAGCTGAAGAAATCGGAGCTGAAGGAGCTCATTAATAATGAATTAACTCATTTCCTTGGTGTGAGTATTGCCTCCTACATAGCACACCTGGGCTCAGGCTCCAGCTCCCCAGGAGCAGGTGGTGGCTGGACAAAGCCTGTGTCAGGGCTGGAGGCTTGGGTTGTACACTAGGGAAATTTCCTTCCCTGGGAGGGTGATAGCCTTACTCTGTGGGCCTCAAGGTGCCCTGGTAGGGCTGCTGTTAAGCAGATGCAGCTTACACCTGTTTCTGTTCTTTCAGGAGATCAAAGACCAAGAGACTGTGGACAAAGTCATGGAGGCACTGGACAGTGATGGGGATGCAGAGTGCGACTTCCAGGAGTTTGTGGCCTTCATCGCCATGGTTACCTCTGCTTGCCATGAGTTCTTTGAGCATGAGTGAGCTGGTGAGAAGCAGTTGAGCAGCTCCCACTCACGCTGGAGAGATGCAGAGCAGCACCACTCCTCTTGGGAAAAGACTGGATGCACTTGGGAGCTCCGTGAAGTTAAGCTTGTGCTACTTAAGCAGCTTATTAAACTCTGCAGCTTTGTGAGCTGAAATGCCCATGCATCTTGGGAAAGCCTCTTGGACAGTGCCCACCTGGGATGCTGTGTGTATGAATCCTCATCGCAAGCTCACTCCCTGCTGCTGCATGCAAGGGACAGGCAGGGGGCTGGAAGCAGGCGGCCGCTGCAACCCGAGGTTGCTGGCAAAGGGAGAAGGAAAATTCAAGGGTTGAGGCAGGGAGTGATGCAGAGAGGCTGGCTAGAGAAGCCTGGCTCTGAGCCCATTGCGCTACACTGAAAGACTCCTGTGACCTCTGTGGGCTCTGACTGCCCTGTGCGTGCTACTAACCCTGGAGACTTAGCAGAGCCCATGCAGTCCTTGCCTGCTCAAGACACTCCTGGCTTGAAAGGCAAAGCATAACCATGTAACAGCTCAGGCTTTTCTCCTGTCTATGAATCCTCCTGCTTGTAGCTGTCTGCAGAACTGGAAGTGAAAGCATAGGAGGCTCCTGGGCTGGGCCAGAGGCATGCATTGGCAAGCTCTACAGGCTCAGCCAGAAGGAAGGGGAAAATCCATACGTGATCAGCTGCAGCCTTCAGAGCATGTGGAAACAATGAGAATAAAATGTTGGTCTGGTCTTTGGGTCATTAATTGGGCTCTGGTGAAAAATGCATCCTTTTATTCCCAGGCTTTGTACACCTTGTGCTTGCCCTGAGTTGTCAATGGTTGAGGAATACAGCCTCAGAGCACCACTGCAGTTCACACTGGCAGCAGGCTCATTTGCCTAGGGTTCTCTTTCAGCTCCTGTCTTCTATCAGTCTGCATTTGCCATCTGGATCAGGCACAACTGTGAGTGGGGCATTCATGGCTAGGAACAACACAGCAGCGTCTCCACTACAAATTCACAGTAAAGAGGGCTGTGGATTATGTTGTATTTACTTTGTAATGATTCAGTGAACAAAACAACCTAGTTTTTGACAGGGATCATCTTATTATTCTAATTTGCCTCCCCAAGCAGTGGCAGAGGATGGTCAAGCAGAGACATGCATACGAGAAAGACAGTATCTTGTGCTCCATCAAGAACTGAAAAGGTTTTGCTATCCTAAGGTAGTGCGCATCCAAGTTACTTCCATTACATGCCTGACATCATTTCCTTGTACTGCTCACTTTCAGTCATGTCCACCACTTGTACAGATGGACCTGAGGACATGAAGGGACAATGAATGAGGAGACTGTCCTAGAGCGTCCCACGGTGAGGGCAGCTTTACCAGCTTTAACACTCACAACCCCGTCTTAAGCCTGAACCCAAGTTCATCAGAGGGGTCTCACGCTCCAGCAGAAGGCTTTGCAGGTGATGCTCTGGCACCCACCTTTTTGTGAGGGTTGCCAGTGTGGCATATGGATGAGGAGCCCTTCCCTAAGACAGTCCATTCAGTGGCTCAGCACAGCACTGTGGTAGCTGAGAACTGCAGCGCAGCACCAGAGCAGGCTGCCTTGTCCCCTGGGCAGCAATGAGAGCAAGAGCAGGAGTGAAACTATACATCTCCACACACATTTCTGGCAGTTAGAATGATCCACCACTGCTGGAAATGCACAGGGGACTCACCTTGCACAAGAAGAAACTGGTACTTCTTGTCAAAGAGGAGGAAAAGGGCGTATCTTCCTTCAAGTTAGGTCCCCTGGTAGTTATCAGAGCAGCACTCCTCTCCTGCAGAGCAAAGCAGAGCTCTTCTGAAGCAACGAAACAGACTGCACAGGCATGGGCCTCAGCACCACCCGGTCTGCACAGCTCTGCTCCTGCATCCACTGTATGCAGCACAGAAGATGCCTCAGGTTTGTGGCTGATGGGGAGGGTTGTCAGAACTGCAGAAGGCAGACATCACAGCAGGGCTGAAGGAGGCTCCAAGGATTCACACAATCTACTAACATCCATCTGGACCAGGCGAGATACTTAGAAGTGCCAGACCTGGCTGCAACAGATCTGCAGAAAAACAGCTCTGGCAGTGACAGGTCATTCATCTGGTAATTAATGTGACAGACCAACACATCTATTTTTATTTTGTTATGCTCCCATCCCTGCCAATGTAAACAGGCCAGCCTGCTGGATACCTGAGGTGTGTCCAGTTGCACTACAGTTTTTGAAGCTAGCACTGATTAGATTGATCTGACATAGCACCACGCCCAGCAGGACTCAAAAGCTCCACATTCATCATTTATGGAGTGACTCTCCATGGAAAGGGTAGTTTGTTAACAAGGAGCTGTGTGGAGGCACCATGAGCATGAAAGCCCAGTGTGATACTAGCTGTGCACACAGGATGTTTCTGACACCTTACAGAAGAGGATACAAAGGGATTTCCCACCAGAAGGGGCACCAACAGATAGTTTCTTCATATTAAGCACCCTGTTGAAATATGAACTACTTGCCAGCAATACTAAAAGTGAAGCAGAAGGAGAAAACACAGCAGGAGGGGGCTGAAATATTTAACAGACTCAAACTTACAACACAAGAGAAGTGACAGCAAGGGGCAGCTTTGATGCATATGCACTATATTATGGTTCTACTAAGTTACATTTTCCTAATTCAAAATGATGCCATTACTTTTCACTCTGGAATATTCAAATTGGGACAGATGACACGCATCCCAGTGTTCTGAAGGAACTGCCTGATGTGGTTGGCAAGTTGCTTTTCATCATATTAAAAAAAATCATGGCTGTTAGGTGAAGTTCCCAGTGACTGGAAAAAGAGAAACATCACTCCCATTCTCAGGAAAGGAAGACCCAGGGAACTACAGGTTGATGAGCCTCATCTGGGAAGATCATGGAAGATATTCCTGGAATAGATGTTAAGACACATGCAAGATGCAGAGGTGATCAGAGACAGCCATTGTGTCTTCACCAAGGGCAGATCATGCCTGAACCATCTGGTGGCCTTCTATGATGGCGTGATAGCTTCAGTGGACAAAGGAAAGGCAACCGATGCTGTCTACCTGGACTTGTGCAAGGCCTTTTGTGTGGTCCCACACCACAGCCTTATCTCTACATTGGAGGATTTGAAGGCTGGACTATTCAGTGGATAAAGAATTGGATGTTTGTAGCCAGAGAATTGTTGTCAACAGCTCTGTCTGCATAGAGGCTGGTCACAATTGGTGTCCCCCAGGAGTGGTCTTGGCACCACTGCTCTTTAACAGCAACAAAGAAGTGGGATTGAGTGTACCTTCACAAAGCTTGCTGATGACACCAAGCTGAGCGTTGCAGCTGATCTCCAGCGGAAGGAACACCATGTACACCATCTAGACAGACTGGTATATGCTCACATGAGGATCCATTAACGAGGCTGCAGTGTACTCTTCCCTCCTGATGCTCTAAAGGATGTGGAAGCCTATTTTTGCTCCCTCAAGCTGAAAAATACACTTCAGAAGAAAGTGGCAGCATTTCAGAGAGCGATCTGACTTCAGTTTATTCCCTCTAACAGATGTTGCAACCAGAACATTTACCTGGCCTTACCCACTGTACCGTAACCGCCAGGGCATTCAAGCACTGAACTGCTCAAAAAACAAGTGAACACTGTGTACTGTAAAGAAATTAGTTTCTGATCCAGCAGCCAACATTCATAAAGTCAGATGTTCAAGAGCTGTTTTGAAATGTTTAATGTGCTTTTGTTTTAAATCTTACAAGGCAACTTGTCTCACTGTCAACCATATCAATACAAAAATCTTACAATGCTTTATCTGCTAAAAAACTACGACATTAAAATTGGGGTTAAGTAGTTCTTCCTCTTTGCCAGCTGTTGTGTCACAGGGATTGCTCACTGCTAAAGGTTGCTGTACTTAGACAATAAGTTACACAGGTTCTGTACATAATTACAGTCATCATATGCAGCTGTATTATACACCACGGTCAAACATCACGAGGGCAAAGAACTACTGTATATGAAAGCTTTCTGTTGGAGATTTACTGTTCATTCGTCAGACTCATTTGATGTTCTCTTATCAGAAGACTAACATCCATCTTTCTTAGGCACTGATCCAGGCAGAATAGCCTTGCAGAAAAACCTGGCTCTTTTGCCAAACTCGTGCATTATATTAAAAAAAAAAAATTAACGGAGCTCAAACTTTATTAACTTTATAAAAATAATTATTTGCTACTCTTGTTCTTACCCTCAAATGCAGCAAGTATTTGAATAATTTCACATTCTCTTTCTGAGTTAGGTTTACTGCAGTACTAGATCAGGCAGAAACTTCAAAGCCTTTTTTAGCCAATTGTGCCTATGCCACCTGGCTGTTGCAGCTGGAGCAAAACGTCTGCCTAAATACAACTAAAAAGATGAATTGTAACCAAAAAGACCCACCTAACTAACACTGAGTATTCTTTTCATGGTGGAAAAAAGAATCACCATTGTACGTTTCAGCAAAGGATATTAATGGAAACCACATTGTAAGGTCATGCTTTGTAAACATTTCTACAAACGATTCAGACTATTGGCTTTGGAATGAGTTTTTAAAGACTTGGTGTTATGCAGGGCAGTAATTAACAGCTAGAGCTATTAAAACAAGTAACTTTAACGTGATGTTATGAGAGCAAGAGCAGTGAACGCTCCCGCATCAAACAGCTGAGTATTAATTTAATATTTTATTATAAAGTTTATAGCATTACAGAGTTCAGCATGGCACACTAAGGAACCTTGTTACAGATGCAGTATTTGTTTTTGCTTGGTACAAAAAAGCTGAGCAGCAGCATAATTGTTACATTGAATCCGAGACTGGAATGAATTTGTTCTGAATAAGGATGAGTCAGTGATTTAAAATACAAAGGCTGCATTTTTAAACCTCAGATATGTGCAAAATTCCTTTCAGTACAGTAGAGAAAATGTTAAAGATGTGTGCAGTCTTAAAAGTTATGCCCCAAAACCCAGATACTGCCAATATATTGCAAACAATCACATGTAGGGGTAACTCAAACTGGTTACTAAGAACTTTCCCTATTATTTCCAAGAGTCACAGCTGGTGTTTGCTCCCCACCCTGCCTTATGTCCTTTTATGCAGTGCATCAAGTACTGACATTCACAATTATTGTAAAAAAACCCAAAACCAACAAAAAAATTGGTCCATGACAGTTCTAATAAGCTTCCTTCAAGAATTCCAGTAAATTCTAATACAGCAATAACTGTTATAATGGATTTACGAAAGCAAACACAATTGAGAGATGAAGGTCTGTGAAGATTAATATCTCCATTTTTCTAAGTTCTTCAACGGTTTTAAAAACATAACATATCAATTCAAATGCTATTCAGACAGTATCTACATTTTGGTGCTTTAGCCTTGATGCGATTTCCTTTCTTTCACATGTTGTAGGCAACATAAATAGGATCCAACTGGTCAGCTAAAAATCCGTCTCTCAAGTGCATTCGTTGTTTTTCACCACGGGAATTGATAGGAATAACTCCTGGGTCCACGATGACTACAACACCTACTATCAGATAATGCTCCTCCAGAACCACGTTTGTTACCAGTGCAACCAGGTCCAAGGCTTCTTGTTCTGAGCCTTCTAACTCCACAACCACCACAAGCAAATTGGTCCATGTAAATACAGCGCTGTTGGCATAATAAAAATGTTAATGTTGAGAAAAACAAAGCAAACCAACAAACCTCACT